TGACTGGACCTGATGCATTTGATGTAACTGCTTTAAGAACAGCTTTAGATAATGATGAAAAAGCATTAAGAGGTAATATTATTCTTGAACAAGTCTGGGAAGTGATTTTGCTAAGAGATTAGATGGTTAGAAAAAAGCTGATGGTGAACTTTGACACAATGAAGTAGCAGTAAGAGCTCATTTGAAAACTTTGAAGTCTGCTTTAGAAGGTATAGAAACAAGAATTATGTTAGATCCAGTTGAGAAAAATGAGTTAGAAGAAATTAAAAAATATTTAGCAGGAACTCGAGTACCAATTGAGAAAAGAATTCTTCCTAGTGAACTAAAAAATGCATTGAGGATTGTATAGTTGAATGTTTTTCGTGAAAATGCTCAAAAATGAATTGATTATTCAAAAAATGTTGATTTTAAAACCAAAACTAATGAAATTAAAAATATTGCTAACAAAGTTAATGGAGAAAGCATAAAATCAATAAATATAAAGCTGAATTGGTTAAATACTGTAAAGAAACTTTAGCTAAAAACCTGAACTAATAGAAGATGATACTTATGAGGTTCCTGAAAACAATGCCAGTAATCAAGAATGACTGGATTGATTCTTGACTCGGGATCCAGCCACTACCATTGTGCTCCAGGAACTAAAAGCAGATAGTGTGCTTAAAGCTACTATCTTAAAAAAAAATGCAAGACTGAAAAGAAGGTGACGAATATTTAAGTCAGGAAATCTTTGGCAATGATCAAGAAATCACTGAAGAAGGAGTAGTTAAATCTTATGTGGAAAAGTTAGGAGGTCAAAACTATTTTAAACAACAGTATATCACTCCTCCTCAAGATAGTCAACAAGTGCTTCCTTTCTGACATTGAAATAATTCAGGAGCTATTTTCTCGGGATTAGGTTACTCCTGTTGCTTGGAGGCAGTATTTGAGCTTGACTCAAAAGAAAACAAATCTCTGTTTGATGAAATCAACCTGCTGAAGGAGGAGATGAATTGGATAGTGAAGAGGATGAGTGATAGATAACATTGCTGAAAACGTGTTCTAATAATGATTTGATTGTTTATTCTGTCAGTCTTCTTTTCTTTCTTGGTTCATCATAAGTTGTTGTTAAGGTTCGTTTAATACTTATAATTTTTCGTTCTTCCTGGTAAATTTCATAAGTGATTTTTTCTTAATCTAGATATTCCTGGAGAGTTTGGGTATCATTGATTTTGAAAATATTAAATATAGGGTGCAATTTTTCACCTTGAGCTTTCTTTAGAATGCTTCTAATGGTGCTGTAATTCTTGGGTTCCATAGTGGATTTAATGTAAATTAGTTTCACATACTTTATTTTTATATTAATATAGAGTTAATCCTATATTGCTCCTGTTATGGTTTATATTTATATTCCTCACCTCCTGGTATGATAAGGGGTGCATTAAAATTAATAAGCCATTAGGATTAGCACATTATTACTTTTCAAACGTCATCAATCACACTGGTCAATTTTACAGCCACATCATAATCAGCCTCTCATTTATGTCACATAATCAAATGTGCACTTTGTCTGGTTTTGTTGCAGCATGCCCCATCTAACGAAAACCTGGATATTGCGATGCTTTTTTTTTTATGTTTCGAATTTTGTCTAGTAAAATTTCCTGGATATAACGAATCCCTCGATATAGCCCCGGCCTGGGCTGACAATTTTATAATCGAGAATTTGATATTATTATTGTGAACTTCAGCAGCTTGGTATTAGTTTTTGGGGAAACCGAATTGTACTTGTTACGCAGCAAATTTCGGCCAATTGCTGACGTTAAGATTTGTCATAATAACGCTATGACCCGGTTATATTTATGGTTTAGTGATGACAAATGCAGACATCCAAATAAATTAAAGATTGCTTTTAATGTTAATAATGAGGCAAACTAGGAAATTGTGACATTTAGCAATTTTTGAACCGCCTGGTTTTGCGCTCCATATTAATATATGAATATGCATTGATATTACCAAACGCATTTTAGCACCGAGAACGAGTACAAACGCAAACAGCGAGCACGACAGCTTCCAGTCTACATTCACATTAATATATAACAAAAACCAAAGAAACAACAAACTTCGCAGATTGCAGAGAATCAGAAAATACTATTAAAAACCGTAAGTGTCAAACGGTACAATTCAGCATCGCCTAATAACATGTAATTAAACGCTTCTTAACACTCTACCATTTTCCCGCATTGACACTAGATAAGCTTTTCTTGCACGAACTGCAAACTCGACATTTGTACCATAATTTCATATATACTTTCGGCCTACTTTCTCATTCAATGCGCCATTCCTCGTTTCTCGAACTTCTTAAGACGGAGAAATGACAGCAACAAAATACGTCTCCCTTCCCTCAACCGACTTCGACGCTGATACACACAATTATCCGCCGTCTCAACACCTCGGCTCTAGCTCTTCTAATTCGCGTTCTCAGAGAGAGCACGATGATGATGATAGCTTCGATGAGAGTGATAGTTATGTGCTGTCGAATATGCGTGGGAAAAATAGCGAGAGGGAAAGAATTTTGAAGGGGAGAGGCGATGAAGATGATACAGTTGTTGATGTTGAGGAGAATGAACATTTACGTGCAGTTAAAGAAGTAGGTACATCGATAGTGAAGAATGTCTTTGGAAACTACTGTGATCTTTTTGATTAATTAAAATTATTAGCCAAGGGGGTTGAAACCGATTAATCCATGTCTGCTGATTACAACAATATTTGTAATCGCGTGGGTTGGAGCGGCCATTGCATACGCGGTATTTGGAGGAACACCACATGATGAAGTGGCCGCGAATGGCATCCGATTTAGAGACGCTATTGGGGGAAGGTTTATACCGTCATGGCGGGTACTAGAATGGAGTCGCACTAGTAAGTAATCGTCAACATGTTTGAACGCGCGTCCACGGATGTTTTAAATACACGTAACAATTAAGCTTTTGGTTCATAGCTAGTGAAGATGGCTTTTTCACATACAAAGATGACAGTGGTAATATAATATTAGAAAACATTGCGAATAACACCAAGACGATATTCGTACCTGGAAAAGATATTGTCGACGTAAGTATGCAAAGTTGATCTATATATCTTTCTGCGATGTCGCTACAATGCTAAATATTATTTTAAATTTAAATTAGTCGCTGGGACAGAGGATTGATTATTTCTCATTTTCAGTGTCACCAGATTCACAGTATGTACTACTTGGAACTAACAAGACGAAGGTAATCATAGGGATACTAAAATATTATTGATTACGATCATGCTAACACACTTCTCGCTACTTTACTCAATTTCAATATCGTGTTCTGACTTTGCAATGGGAATCACGATGCTTAAGCTGTGGAGACATTCGATTCGTGCAAATTATTGGGTATATGACATATCATCAAAAGTTGCAAAACCGCTGACGAATCAAATTGGTGATAACAAACACGCATTAATAGCCTATGCAAAGTGGAGTCCGAGTGGACATAGTGTGGTATGTGCTTGATCTTTTTTCGCTACAGAGTATATGCCTCTTGAGTTGAGGTTTTCATATTTTTATGTTCAACTTTTGCGTTACAATTATAGGCATTCGTCAAAGATAATGATCTATACATATCGGTAGATTTGAAGGAAGAAAGACGAATTACATTTGACAATTCAGTTGATATTTTTAATGGAATACCAGATTGGATTTACGAAGGTAAACAAGTGTTTGTTTATGAAATACGATCGTATCGATATCCAACTGTTAGCATCTTTTTCAATCTCTAAAATGGATTCAAATTGAAATGAGCGTTTACTATATATACATAAAGCTTACTTCAAAGACTTAGTTTCGATATCTAAATCACAACAAAAAAAACTAACATCCTTTACTGAACTTTTATCAGAGGAAGTGCTCTCATCAAACAATGCGCTTTGGTGGTCTCCATCGGGAAAATACTTGGCTTATCTCCGCTTCAATGAAACCGCTGTTCCTGAATATCGCTTTCCCATTTACCTAGACAATCGCGATGGAGCATATACGTCCGACTATGTTATCAGATATCCGAAGCCTGGTTTTCCCAACCCAATTGTAACACTTCATATATACAACACGGAGATACCACTTGTTGCACAATCAGATCCAGTAATCATAAAAGAAGATTTCGAGGATGACGATAGGATCATCACCGAAGTCGCGTGGATAGGAAACGAAAATGTCTTGATGCGTGAGATGAATAGAGTACAGGACAACATGAGAGTGGTATTAGTAGATGTTGAAACTAGGAAAGGTGTGATTGTGAGAGAAGAAAATTCTGAAGAACAAGACGGAGGATGGATCAGAGTTGTATGAATCACTTATAACACTTGTTTTTCTTATGCCCTGACTTTATTCATATGTAACAAACGTATTTTTCTGTCCTGTAGGCCCAGACTATAGTAGCCATTCCGTCAAAAACATTAAAAGAAAAGGACAGCTATATTGATGTTGTGAACAACAATGGTTATCTTCATCTTGCTTTATTTAGTCCTCTACAGTCTGATAAACCCACATTTTTGACAAGTGGAAACTGGGAAGTGGTCAATGGTGTCACTGCAATTGACCATGAGAGGAGGTTAATGTAAGTTACTTAATAGTATTATAATTTCGGTGATGTTGTTGTTTGAAGTTATTAATATATACATACTTTTTTTGTTTATTAGCTACTTTGTAAGCACTGAAAAGTCGTCCATGGAGAGACATTTGTATTCAATAAAGTTTGATGGTACCGACAAGAAAGCGCTGACACCAACGGACCAACCTGGATACTACTCTGCCGACTTCTCTCCTGGATGTACATATTATAGCCTACAATATGAAGGTCCAGACGTGCCTTGGCAAAAAATATACAAAGTCGACGACAAAAGTGAGTTTATGGCTCTTTTACCATTGTTTTGTATTATTGACTTAGAAAATACGTTGCTAATAAGTGCTGCCACAGACTTTGAAATAGTGTTGGAAACTAATAACCACATAAAATCGGCGCTTGTCGGCTTAGACATGCCCACGAAAAGATTCTTGACAATCGATAGTGAAGGATACCGTACGTAATACTATACCGAAATCAACTTTTGTATCTTCAGTCATTTCTCCCTTTTATATGAATTATTGTTGATGTGTTACAACCAATAATTTACATAGAACTCAACGCCTTTGAGATTCGGCCTCCAGGTATGGATACTTCAGGCCAGACCAAATATCCAGTTCTCTTCAATGTATACGGGGGTCCGGACTCCCAACTGGTTAGCACCAAATTTTCTATAAACTGGCATATGTTCCTTGCCTCGTCCCCTCTATTGAAGTACATTATCGTTACCGTCGATGGTCGAGGCACTGGTTTCAAGGGCCGAGCCTTCAGAGTAGGAATAAGAAAGCAACTTGGAAAATTAGAGACAATAGATCAGATAAATGCTGGAAAATATTGGGCTCAGTTAAATTACGTTGACAAGGAAAAGATGGCCATATGGGGATGGAGTTATGGAGGATATATGACAAGCAAGGTTATAGAAGCGGATTCCGGAGTATTTAAATTGGGCATGGCGGTAGCACCTGTTACTGATTGGAGGTTTGTTGATGAATTGATGAAGAGCTTACTATAGACATTGCATAAACGAACATGGAATCGAATTTAATATGGCTTGGATGACGAACGTGCTACACCTTTTATTTAGATTCTATGACTCTATATATACTGAGAGATACATGACAACGCCGGCTATGAACGCGGACGGCTATCTTCGGTCTTCTGTTACCAATATGACTGGATTCCGGCATGCAAAGTTTTTACTTGTTCATGGAACGGGAGACGGTAAGACACGATGTTACTTGGGTTCAGGTAAATTCACTAAACCAGCTCAAATCGCTAATTCTTTTACACATATTCTGGACTTTTTTATCCCCGCCGACATACAGATAATGGTAAGTTGGACGTCGTCGATAATTAACTTGTTTGTCAGTTGATTACCTGTGGCTAATTTGTTCTATCCGTACACAGTTCATTTCCAGAATACTGCTCACTTAATTGACAAGTTAACACTTGCATCGATCCATAATTATCGCGTACAGATTTATACAGATAGCGACCACTCCATTAATAAGAACAATGCCAATAGAGAAGTAAGTTTATCAAATCACGTATACTATATGTGGGATAGATTATCGATTAAGTTAAATTAATATACTAAATGTCGTTTACCGTTATGATAGCTATATTACTTATTAACCGACTACCTGCGGCGTAATTTTGGATCTGATGGAAATACGGCATGGAATGAAGAGGAAAATTGGTACAAGAGGCAATAACATAATCTGGCAAACGGTAAATAATTTCAACTAGTTCATATTGTTCGGAATGTCAGATTTGAATGAGACAAATTGGAATTAATAGAAGTTTTGATTACATTATCCCAATAACTATTATTGTATAGCTTAGAACATCCAATTCTCCCTTTCATAATAAAGACGCTCGTGGGAAATGCTGTCGAGCGAGATAGACGCGTAGCATTCGATAGATGTCAATTAATGTCTACAAAATTTAAATCTTTATGGAAATAACTCACTATCGACCATTCTAGTTTACAAATCAATAAATCGGAACAAGCTATTCTAATCGATCATGTACTATAAATTCTAAAGTTCGCAGAGACAGAACGTTATAAATTACGAGAATCTATTGCATATGTATTATTCAAACTGTTCATTATGCAAAAATTCAGCATCCCTTTTGAAAGTTCACAAAACTTTCTAACAAGAAGTTCAAGTATGCTACGGTTAACAAAGTACTCATGCCACACACTTAGCAGACAAGTATCATTGCAGAAATTGAAGGTCGCATCTTACCATATGACAAGCACACTAAAGCTTGCGGTAAAAAGTGACTACTTTATAAGCGTGCCGAAATGTATGACAATTATGATTCCATCAATATTACAATAAAGCAGCCGGTATGTTATTTCAGATAGACATTTGCAGAGTCTCGATAAGCAAACCTCAACTATTCCAAAATAAAAACACCAGTTCTAAAGCAAAAGAAAAAGTAAAAATAAGGTAAAGGCAGTTCATTTTCAGCTACTAGAGACTTTGCAGGTTTATTGGCAATGTTTGCAATCGCGGTAACATTGGACGCGTAGCGATCACTTTTCAGCGAACGACATTGACGGGAGAACATACACTGCGAATAAATTTTTTGTTAAAGGAACCAGTCTCTTTGATTACATATTACATAGTATTAATCGGCATGCATGCATAGTCAATTATCTATTCAATTTTTTAGATAGCCAAGAGATTAAAATCCTTGATCGCTGTCTTGAAAACGATGCAAAGATGTCTTCACAAAGCATCGGCATGAGAGATGGTTACGGAGTTTTCGTTTAGCCAGGGTACCTTTACATTAATGTCTTAGACCGGCGTCTGACGCATGTCCCATTGTTTCCAACTTTAGACTCGACCGCATGAAGTTACTTAAGCTAACAAGTATAGGATCATCTTAGAATGTACTAGCAAGAACCCTTCTTTCTTGAACTTATAATACTGAGACATATGTTGTGAATGACAGCATACAATATGGGCCTCTCTATTTCTAGGCTTAATATAAATACAATACGTTACATATTTGAATAGGATATACACAGCAAATTTGTAATAGGTATGTAAACTCGCTAACCGTAAATGGTCCACTTTATTCACTAATACCGTATTCGTCTCATCCGCTTATCATGTGTTAATCAATTTACTGCAAATCATCTCCATGCGATTGATCTCATCAAGTTCAATTTCATAAAAAGAAAACTTAGCCAAAAACCCAATCATAAATTTATCATTAGACTTAGACTTCGATTCGTTCTTCTTCATACACTATGGCTCCAGCCGCTACCTCCAATAAAGAGGAGATATCGCACTTAAAATACCTGCTGAACTTGGCCCAGGAACGTATTGCCAAACTCGAGGCTGAAAACTCGAAAAATGATAAAAAATCTCGTGAACTGAGAATGGTGCTTATGGGCCCGCCTGGAGCCGGTGAGTATATATGACAATGGAAGTGGGCATTAAAAGAAAGAGAGAGAGGAGGAAGAAGTGGATGTAATTGGTCCATGTAGATGGTTGAATGAACATGTTATGAATCAACCGAGATATATTGAACTAGATTATCATTGTTTGACATATCACTAAAGATGGATGATTAACCACCCTGTATATTATTCAATGAATTATATGTCCAGTTACAAAGGTTATTTTTTAATTCACCATTATTTATCCCCTTATTCTTAAAGGCAAAGGCACCCAATCCCCAAAGATCAAAGATAAATACTGCGTATGTCACCTGGCCACCGGCGATATGCTTCGGGCTCAAGTGAGGGCCGGAACTCCTCTCGGTCTTCAAGCCAAGAAGATTATGGACTCGGGTGGATTAGTCTCCGATGAGATAATGGTTGGAATGATACAAGATGAGTTGAAAAATAATAAGGAATGTAAGAATGGGTGTGTATTTTACTAAGGCTTTCATAATTGTTTTATGCATACCCATATGGGTAACGATATGGGGTTATATAATATACATTTATTGTTTCGAATAGATTTATTCTCGATGGCTTTCCTCGTACTGTGCCACAAGCCGAGAAATTAGATGCAATGCTTGCTGAGGACAATAAAAAACTGGATCATGCTGTTGAATTGCTCATCGACGACAACTTGTTGGTGTCAAGAATCACCGGTCGCTTAATTCATCGACCTAGCGGAAGAACTTATCATAGAATATTCGAGTAAGTAATTAATCCACGCCCATCTGATTCATGCAGGTAACCTACTATATAGCAAGTGGCAACAGGATCTTGTGAAAATAGATGCTTTTACAGTTAAATCGGACATTCTCTTCAAATACGCTGACATCCCACATTTACATTTGTAGTCCACCAAAAGTGCCTGGGAAGGACGACGTCACCGGGGAGCCTTTAATCCAACGTTCAGATGACAATCCCGAGACGTTAAGAAAACGTCTCGCCACATATCACAAACAGACGGTTCCAGTCGCTGAATATTACAAAAAAAAAGGCATTTGGTCAGGCGTTGACGCTGCCCAAAGTCCGAATGCTGTTTGGCAGAGTCTATTGGCAATATTTGGTGATAAGTAGTGAGATTGCATAACGAAAATCATCATGGACTGTCTACATTCTAATGATATGTTTCATTTATAATATGCTAGTACATCTTCGTTAGTTAGACGGGATGCAATTGTCGACATGCGTCGCAAAGGAATGATAGGTTGCATTGAAATATTAATAATATTAAAGTAATGTGATGCACCCTCTCTATCCATGCTTGCCGACATAATACTATATATTGGTTCGATACTCGTAGCGTTTAGTGCCTTGGTATGTTTCAATCACAAGGCCATATTTGTTTCAGCTAAACCAAGAATATAATCTCGCCATTTGACATAATCAGTGTATTTGCGAGATCGTCTGTAACACGTCGTGCCAATCTGTGTGAAAATGAAAGCGTTGATAGTAGCTCATGCATGAATTTGTCTCAAGCATTGTTAATTACATACCATATCACATATTCCAGAAACTGGTTCAAACTTTGTATATTTTCTCACGTCGTCATGTTTTGCCTTTTTTGACACATTGCTATCTTCGCTATTATCATCATCATCGATAGTATCGTTCTTTCTTTTTCGTCCATCATGCTTCCGAGCAGCCAATTTTTCCAAAAGTGGCTTTGTCGATTCTTCTATAAGTTTTATGTGCTTATTCAAATCTATCAGCGTTGTCTTAAACCCGCTTGATTCTATAAGTTTGCGTTTGTTTATTTGTACCTACAGTGTATGTATTTTACTGTAAACAACTAAATACGTCGTGTATCGTTCTAATGCACATAATAGGCAAAAATATACTCACACCGATAGCTTTGCAACACAACCAGAATGTTGCAATTTTATACACGTCCTTACTCCAGTCAATCGTGCATCTCTCTGCGGCAGTTAACTTGTTGTTCCATTCCTCCTTAAATTGCTCAAACACTTTTTCAGCATGTGTTGTAATCGTTTGGCATCCCCACTGTACACCAAGAGCCTGAAATGTAATCGTCTTTGACTCGACATTTAGAATAGACTTTACATAATCCAAAGCAGACAAGTAATTGGCTTTTGTCGTATGAGCCAATTTCAAAACATTTTTCTGATTAATGGCAATCCCATATCTAAAGTGAAGGGAAGATGAGAGTACATCGCATTTTCGGTGAACTTATAAGTTAACTGGGAATTCCGGTGAGCAAAAAATCAAGCATTTGATTCGAAAAACTCACAGTTCGCAGGCAATTTGTATGCATATGAGAGGTTTACAAGTCGCACCGTGTTTTATTCTGTTTCCTGGACACATGGCATTAACCCGTTGAAGTAATTGAATTGCCTTTTCAACTATCGGCGAATTCTCATATTCTAGACATAGTCCTCGCATGAGTGTTTCGACGAGTTCGTCCAGAGCCGACATTTTATTAATTGTTGTGAATGTTGAATGATGTATGCGTTTTTACGCGTCAAATCATGCACCCACGTGACGTTGTACATGTGCTATTTATTTGGTTTACAAAGAAAGCGCCCGCTTATTACTATAATACATCTTTCCCCAACAAGTTGTTAGCGGCTCATACAATGTACCCTGACGCTGCTAGACAGGACGCTACCGATGCGAACAAGGAAGAGAGCCGCGGCTTGCAGGAAGAGACGTCGGTATGTTTAGGTACGAGATTTTGTGTGTGAAATTAACTGAAACAATTACGTACTAATGGTGTTCAATACAGGTCTATCTCAATGTATATGACATGGTATGCTCTGATGTCTGGTTCTCTGGTATCTGGTGTACCTTAATGTGTGATTTAACGAAGATTTTTCAACTTTAGCTACCGGGTAGCGCAGTCACTGCGGTTGGTTACTGGATGGGTTTTGGTAAGATGGATAAACCGAGGTGATATTTGACGCAAGAAAACAAATTAACATTATACTTTTCAACCCAGGTGTATTTCATACTGGTGTAGAAGTATTAGGAGTCGGTGAGTTGTATATCCTGTTACTTTACGTTCATTGTCTGAAAATTTAATGGAATGATCGCAAGTATTGAATACTGCTGTTCATAGAATATAACTTTGGAGGTCATGATTACGACGCTTCTGGAGTATTTAGGATGAAGCCACGACTCGGTCCACCAAATGTTACATACAAGTGAGTCGTTTGGATGGGTGCATTATACGAAATTAATATCATATTTACTTAAATTTTTTTTTTCACCTTCTAGAGAGTCTATATTTATGGGGTATACTAAACTTAATAAAGAAGATGTTGTAAAAAGGATGGACGAGTTGTCCAAAGAATGGAAAGGAAACAGTTATAATCTTCTCTTAAGGTAACTTCAAGGTTCCCGTTTTTTGCCATTTCTTCTCTCTTTTGGTGCTAATTGAGATTTGTGAACAGGAATTGTAACCATTTTACTAGTGAAGCATGTCGCATATTAGTAGGAAAGCGCGCACCCGGTAAGTAAGTATATATCTTCCTATTTTCACAATCTACATAGCTGATCCATTTTTACGTTTTCGTAGGCTGGATAAATCGTGCTGCAAAATTAGGAACGCTATTTCCATGTATGCTACCTTTTTACACAGTGAAACTTGTTTTAATCTATGGTAAGGTAACTGAACGATATTTAACAAACTTGTTACTAGGTGTGGTACCCAGCGGATGGATTGAACCTCCAGAATGTGGGGAAGAGACCGAGGCTATAGGTAACGTGAATAATTCTTGTTCGTTGTCCTGCCCGTCGGTCATCTACACTGGCTGATGTCGTCAACAATCTTTTAGCATCGTCCATGTCTACTACATATGCGCCATATAATATTTCCGAGACTCAAGTACTTAACCCGAAGTGACCGCATAATATTAATGTTTATCAAGTGATTACTAGTCATGGGACATGTTATGGTACAGGGGTTCGAAATGTTGTCAATAGTGGTGGTCAACATGCCGATCATTATTTTT